AATATGACAACAAGTGTACATCTCAGGTAGCTAGCAGAGAGAATAGTGTTTCCAGCACAAATGATAAATATCGAGGTGATAGATCAATTATTCTGATTGGATTGCTAAACATCATATACATGAATTAAAATATCACATTGTATCTCACAAACACATAGAATTACTACTGCATAGCAATTAAATATTTAAAAATGAAAATATGGGCTCTGATTTTTATGTAATCACTATCATTTGAAGGGACTTGGTTTGTCTTTTAATGTATGATTCAGTGTTATATGAACTAAATTTATGTGTCATGAAACTTGATTCATATTGGTTCCGTGCAGTTTTGTAGCAAAGAGGATTAATTGGCGGGGTATTTTTGGAAGATTATATTTAAGCAACAATAAGCTGCAAAAGGAAAGCAATAAAATATGTTTTATAGCTGGTGTTTTCCAAGAGAAATGTTTTATGGGAAAAAAGACAAAATAAGAATTTTCTCATTGGTGGGGGTGGTAGTGGTCATGGCCAAGAATGAGGGGCAAGTGAGACCAGGCCTGTCCACATGGCCCTGGAGAACAGGCTGGCCCCAAATGCACAGAGATCCACCTGCCTCTGCCTACGGAATGCTGGAATCAAAGGTGTTTGCCACCACATCCAGCTTAACCCTAACTCTCATAGCACAGTATAGTCTTGTAGAAATCTTGTGTCTTTTATGTGGGTGGTATTTTTCTCAGATGACTGGCAAACTCAACCCTACTTACTCTTTGACACCCACTGTAGCAAGAGCAGATTCAGTTACTGAGGACAGAACCTCAGTAATACCAGATGTTGTAATCTAAGCCGTGCAAAAGAAGGCTCAGGAGAAGGCTGTTCAGCACAAAGCCAGAACTCAGTGCAACGATACCAAGGACTTGCTGTGGCAAAACTACACCCACTGAGTGCTGCAGAATTCTCCAGGGCAAAACTACACCCACCGAGTGCTGGAGACTTCTCCAGGACAAAACTACACCCACCGAGTGCTGGAGACTTCTCTAGTGTGTTCTTGTTGTGGTAGTAGCTTGTTTGCCTCTGGTCAGATTAATTCTGGAAGACTGCAGCACTGGCTTGGTAGACAAGGTTCTTTGCTCTTTTCTTTAACTAGAGTTGGCTGACTGTTCTGAACTTCATGTTCCTCATCTCTAAAAGCTGACAGCATGTGTGTATGGAAGGGTACCGGCACTTGGTAGGTTTTCAGTAAGTCAGCACTTTCTCCAAAGCTAGAGGAGCCCAGCTTGGCCAGTCCCAGTTATCACTGCTCCACCATGACTTCTGCAGGCATACCTCTCTATGTTACCAGACTCAGGCTGATTTGACTAGATGCCAATTTAGAGTCAAGGAGAAAGCGGCAAGCTCTGCCCACAGCTTTGCCACAACTGAACAAATTTACTCTTGGATCCAGCTGTCTGATCTTGAACACTAACCATTTCCTGTTTTTAGCCTTCTCCAGAGGACTTTTTAGGACCCCTTCAACCGTCCTGATCTTTTGCCCTCAAACAAACAAAACCTCCTAAGATGGATGGAAAACAATTTTAGCATGCTCAAATTGACTCTAATCCAGTGGCATCTATCTGTAACTTAATGTTACAAACAAATTCTTAAAGCATGCCAAAAATGAATCCCATCAGCATTGTTATGGCTTGTTATCATAAAGAGATCAGCAGCTCTTGGGTGGCTCTTTGCCAGTACCAGTCTTTGCCATCATACCATGCACATTTCTAAAATCTCCCATGTTTTCTTAGCCCATGACTTTGTATATGTGGATCTAACATGGAATTGCACAAGACTGTGTAGGATAGGGAGCCTACTATTGATTTAGAGACAGTAGGTCTAGAATAGTCTAGAAAGTACAAGTACTGTAAAATGACTTCATTCTGCTCACTTTGGATGACTTGGGAAGCTCTATCAGTGTTCATGAAAATCTTGGACTAAGTGTCTGGAGTACAGAAGCATCATGAGCGCTCTGCTGGCCTCCATCTCCAAGCTCATTCCTGGCATGTGCTGGGAGTATTTTGCCCTGGAGGTTGTCTCCCCACAGATGAATGTGTCTTACTTAATTAGTGTAAGTCAGATTGTATAGAGGGCATCTGCTCTTGTAGCCACGATGTATTAGATTCAAGATGAAAAGAATTGCTTACTGCCATTGCTTTCCCTGAACAAAAGAATCAGCTTCCATGGCTGATCCCGCTGTTTTCTTTTTATGTAAGTATTATTTAGTTTTTTTTTTTTTTTTTTTAGCCATGTGTGTATATAACACATGTGAATGGATACCCATGGAGGCCAGAGGTACTGGATTCCCTTGGAGTCCAAGTTATGGGTGGTTGTGAGCCACCCGATATAGGTGCTAGGAATTGAATTTGGATCCTTTGAAAAGCAATAAGTGCTCTTAACCCATCAGTCCAACACATACCCCTAATTTTGAAATAGGTGTCATGAAGCCCAGGCTGGCCTCCAACCTCCCAGGTAACTGAGGATAATCTTGGACTTGTTTTCATTTGCTTATGCTTTGTTTTGTTTGGTGGTGTGAATTTGTTTTAAGAGTGTGTGTTTTGAAGCAGTGTCTCATGTAGCCCAGGCTATCCTTAAACTCATTGTGTAGTCAAGGGTGATTTTGAACTTCAGATCCTCTTGTCTTTACTTCTCAAATACTGGGATTGCAGGTGCATGCCAGTCTTCCCAGTCTATGTGGGTCTGGCGATTGGACCCAAATTTTGGCACATGCTAGCCCCGGTGCCTTACCAACTTAGTTACATATGTCCTCTTCTCCCGCTCCCTAGTTTAGTTAGCAGCTGCCTTGAATTGGACCCCATAGATTCCATTGTTGGTGGAGCTCTAGGTGCCATGGGATGCAGGGAGAGAAATAAGACTAGATACCTTTTCTAACATTCTACAAAAAACAGAAAAGGGAGGAAGTTGCCCACCTTTCCTCTTGCAGTCCAGCGTTTGTATGGGAAACACGTAATGGTGGCACAGCGTGGAGTCGGCTTCTGGCCTGATGACTGGGGGTTTCCCTGAGACTTGGGGTTTGGGGTCCAGTTGCTCCTTTTCCTCTTCATCGCATAACTCTTCAGGCTTTAGCTGCAGCAATTTTTTATTTTTCCGTGTTGGTGGGCTTTCACATTTGGCATAATTGCCCAAATTCCGGTTCCGTGGGATCTGCAGCATTGAAACAAGTGTTTCTAACTCACAGGTACAATGCCAGGGGTTGTCGTAGAGACGCAGGTAGCTCAGGAGAGGGGTGAAAATGAACACCTCCTCTGTCAGCACCTTGATCTGGTTGTGCTGCAGCAAGAGGGTGGTAAGCTTGTTTAAACCAATGAAAGCATCGCTCTCAATTTTAGAGATCTCGTTCTGTTGCAGGTCTAGGCTCTTCAGCCTTTTAAACTTTGAAAACATGTTGTTCTTCAACACACGGATTTTGTTTCTCGCTAAGAGCATGTGCAGCAAGTCTTGAGGCCAGTTGGGTAACACATACACCAATTTTCTTTCTTGGCAGTCCAGGTATTTCTCGTGGAGGTATGTGTATACGTCACAGGGGAGGCCTGGTGCATAGCGTTTGGCTGGGCCTCTCCTGCTACCACCTGAGCTGCTGTGGCTGGGATGGGCCTGGCTTCTCACAGTGTCAGGGCTGGCCTTGTGGTGCTCAGCAGCTCTGCAAAAGCAGAGAAGAATCAAGATGGCCGCTGTGTGCATTCTGACATCCAGCCGGCCCCACAGCAGGGAGAACAAGAATCTTCCTTTGAAATCCCAGTTTGGGTAGCTTTAACAAGCACAGGTCAGGAGTAGTAAAGCACAGCTGAGGTGTATGGGTTCCTAGTGGGAAGACAGAAAGACAGAAAAACAGTTAATTGCCATCTTGAGCAATGTATGCCAAAAAGAGCAGATTTACATTATTTTTTTCTGAGCCTTCTAGTGTAAGTGGGCAAAAAGTGCTGTAGAAGATTCTTCCCCCTTTTACTTGCCTAGTTTAGTTAGCAAACACATGCTTGGCCCCAGGTGTGAATCAATGCTCTCATGGCTTTTCTCAACCTCCATTTTTCTGGAAGGCATATTGTAATTTCTATGTAAATGTAACTTAAAAAGTCATAACAAGTACTTTATTCCAATTACTATGCTTGTTAACTGTTGGACAGTAAGTGTGCCAGCATCTGCAATATGCTTTGAAATGCATCAAAAATAATGAATAATTTAGGACCGACTGAGAGATGGGTGAGTGGATAAGTAATGAAACAACTATAAAATACAAATTGTAACCCAGGTGGCAGAGGCGTAGGTGCTCATGTGTGTTCTTCTCAATTTTTGTATATGTATAAAAATGGGTATAATAAAATAATTTAGAACTAAAACTAAAAAATGGGTCTGGGGATATGGCTTGGTCAGTTTGTCTCAAACATAAGGACTTGAGTTTGGTTCCCATCACCCTCATAAAAAAACGAATATGGTGGTGTGTGTCTGTAATTCCAGTCCTGAGGAGGCAGATGCAGGAGGCTCCCTGGACACTGAGTCTTGTTGGCTATTCTCCAAGTTCACACAGCAATCCAAACAATAACATGAAGAAACTGGCTTGTCAACTTTTGTCATTCACATGCATGTGTACATACATCCATATATCACACATAAGCACACTTAAAAGAATTAAAAACCATGTACCAAAAAAAAAATCAAAACACAAACTAACAAAACAATCAAATTTATTTTCCTCAAGTACTTTCAAGCTTAAAGTTCCAAGGATATAGTGTTTTTTAAAAACAGAATGATTTTTTTTCTTTCTGCATTTTCCTATACCCCACAAACAGTAATGCATGTGTATATATGAGTTTTTAAAGAAATCATTTGCCTGAGCAGGGAAAGCCACATACTTAGAACACATTCCTTGCTGAGGTTTCTATTTACTTTGTAATTAAAATGTTGCATTGAATGTGGAATGGAGAAATGAAATTTTTACAGTGTGTTGTTTAGTGACATTTGCTTGTTTGATTTAGGCCACTGTAAAAATCTGCAAGAGTTGAACGTCTCAGACTGCCAGTTCCTCACAGTGAGTAAGACAGATTTTTCTACTATTGTTTATGTAGGTCCAAACTTCTCATGCTGGAGATCCAGTGGGCACAGCATATACTCTCTATGCATTTGGGGTTGACTATGGAAAAGCAAACTATACTAAACATTGGCAAGAACATTTACCCCTTCTGCACAATGCTATCATTAATCTTGTTGCTATGTGCTCAGTGTTGGAACCTTTGGCAAGTGGAAATTCTTTAACGGTTACATAAAAATCAGCTGGGTTCTCGTGTCACATTTGTATATGAGACAGAAAATACTGGGCCCCAACAAGGCTTATAGGCTTATTTTAGTGACCTTCATGGCTATTAGTAATCATACCAAAGAAGATAGCAACGACAATATAACCCCAGATTCCTGACCTTGGTCCCTTGTCTTTCTCTCTACCCCAAATGTGTCTTCCTTACTGTGAGCACACAGTACCCTTTCTACAGGCGGGTCTGACAAAGTCACTCCATCTTCCATCACCCATACACTGCTAGGAAAAATCAAACCACCTTAGCATGAATAAGCCCTGGAGACTCTTTGTAGCTCCCCTCCCTTTCCAGCCTCATCTTGTTCCACTCTGTGTACACAGCAAGTTCTGGTGGCCATGTACCAGGATGCCCATAGTACTCTGCTGGTTTTGCTCATGCACTGATGTTTCTTTTTCAGTTTTCTGAGACAGGGTCTCACTCTGTAGGCCAGGCTGGCCTCAGGCTCAAAGAGACCCACCAGCCTCTGTCTCTTAGGTGCTGGGTTCCAGGCATGTGCTACCACACTAGCGTTTGTTCTTGCTTTGCCTCTGACCTCACCCTATGTCTCAGGACTGCCTTCACAACTGCTCCTCTGTATTCCTATCAGAAGTAGCTGCTAACTCCTCCTCCACTCTGCCTCCTCCACAAATGTAAGAGACAATAGACTCAACAAGATAAGTCCATCAGTGGCTGGGAAGACCTAGGTGTAAGCCTTAGCTTAAAGAAAAACAAAAGGTTTCAACAGCATTTAATATCTAATTCCACTATATGGTAATACATAGTGGGCAATGAACATAGAACTTGGGATCCCATCTTGTGTTGCTATGTGTTATGTGCTGTAATTGACAGTAGAAGAATGAAGGTTAATCTAGTGAGACAGGATGAGCAGGGAGGAGGACATAGCATGTGTGTCACTGACCCTAAGGAGCAGGTTGATGATTTGAAAAAGGAAGAGGAGGGAATAGGTTTAAATGTGAGTGTAAGTAGGCTGAAAGACACTTGGGAAAAAGTGTCCCAAATAGGTAGGTAAGAAATGTACTGAACATGGAAGCCCAGACTGGGCTACTAATTTCTGCTGAAGCCATTCCAGTGGGATGTTGGGGCACATATATAATTGTAGTGAGCTGTGAAATGGACAAGATACAAGAAATTAAACATGAGTTACAAACTACTGTTTCCAGAAAAATGGCTGAGAAGGCAGGAGGAACAGGGACAGGAAAATGCCTACAGGGGTATGAAAGCCAGTGGAGGTAGCCTACCCAACCAATGGGACAGGTCTCTGAGGAGATAGAGACGACAGAAGAAAGCCTGATTGTAGAATGACCCTCAGCACACGCCAACACCGGGCAGACACCAAGGCCCTTCCCACAAGCCACTTTAAACTGGCTCCTCAGTGTTCCTCCAGCACTGCACATAGCAGTATCGCCTCGTAGTCACAGCTGCTCCTTCTCAGATGTATGCCCTGTTTTAACATTAAGTCACTTTAAGTCCCCACAATGTCACTTTATGATCCTCGAACCTTTTTTCTGTCTACCTGAATATCACACCCCTCATCATGACCACAGTCTGGATATGTGTGTTCCTCCTTTGAAACACTCTTTATCTCTGCTGGGTTTTCCCATACACTTTAGAAAAAGTAACTTTTAAAAAATAGCATCATAGAAATAACAAATCGATTATCATTTACTCAAAGTGAACACTTTAATAATTTATGGTATATTCACAGAATTATGGAACCAATTCCAAGTAATTTCCAAACATTTCCATCATCCTTAAGAGAAATGACACCCATTAAATCACCTGTCATTTTATTCTAACTCCTTAGCACCTTGTAATTCCATTCTTCTGACAGGTTGATTTACTTCCCCTCTGAGGTGGCACTGGGGTCCCAGACCCTCACCATTTACACCTTCTACTCCCATATTTATGTTTACACTGTAGCCCCTTTTTTCAGAACAAGGATCACTTTGAAAATCCTGTTCTCATAGTTTCTTCCATAAAGCTTATCTTCCCATTTTCAGAGCAGAACATTTATTTTCCCCAAAGATGGAAAACATTTTATGAGTAAATAAAATATCAACATGAAGGTACTAAGACCCTTAGAACAATTCAACTCATTTTTCCTAATACAAACATGAAGCCTTTAAATCAGTTATCTAGTTCCCACCCAACAGGCCATGGCTCTCAGCTCGGTCAGTGGACCCGCCTCTCAGTAGCTCATGTGTCAACACAGCAAGCTGCTACTTTCTGTTCAGAATGCCCCCCCCCCCCAAAAGCAAGGGACACACAGACAGGCCAGGCCATAGAACCCATAGGAGAAAAAATTCCTTTTCTCTGGCTGGGCTGTTCCTCTACCAGCAAGTACATAAAGGCCCTTCATCAAGAGAGATGGCAATCTTTGCTAGAATATTCTTCAGGTCTCTGAAGAGGATTAAAATGGCATTGTTGGGATATGGATTCATTCTTTCAATGGATATTTTTAGCACCTGCTGTGTTAAAACTATCCTATTAGGTGTTAGAAGGAATTTTAATGTTGGTTAATTTTTAGTTCTTGCCTCCGGGAGCATTAGTTCTGCATATGAATACACAATTGCATTCTTTGAATTTGGCCCTCTAATAGGAAAGCCAGCACATAGCCATCTGTATCGAGTTTGTGAACATCAAAGTCTTGCTCAAGTTCGGGATCTATAAAGGGCTAGTAATTTTATCCAGCTCCATTTTGCCATTGTTTTCCTCTTGGAGACATAGGCTGGGAGACAGGCTTACATTTAAAGATGTTGGTAACATTTGTTCAAAGAGCTTGGCTATACGTAATCTTCTCTTGTGAAATATAACACACTGAAGAATCTGACGCCTGTGTTGTAGACAAATTCATGAGCCATTCAGCACTGCACACACTCAAATGCATTTTATATCCAAACATTTCAATATTGGGTCTGGCATTCTCTTAAGTACTGAGAATGGGAGTGGTCTGAACTTGTTTGGGTGACCGAGCACCTCCAGAAAGGCAAAGGCAGCTCAGGGAGTCACATTGCCCCACTGCACACAAAGCTCACACTATCCTCTGGTGGGAGATGTCATTCTGTAAACATGTTTCTCTTATTGTATAACAAATAAAACACTGTTGGCCAATAGGAAAGCAAGATAGGCAGGACTAGGAGACAAGGAACATTCCTAAAGGAGTAGGGAGGAGAGTCAGGATGTAGAGACTGAAGAGAACAGAGGTCTAGGCCCTCTCTCTGGTAAGATAAGACCGTGTGGAAATAGTTAGATTAATAGAAATGGGTTAATATATAAGACAGAGCTAGCCAATAAGAAATTCCAGTAACAAGCCAACAGAATTATATCTAATATAGCGTCTCTGTGTGCTATTTGGGGCTGGAACGGTAGAGGGACAAGACCTGTAAGCAGGAAACTACTCATAACAATCCTCTTCTGGACCGTGCCATTCTGAGGCTTCTAAAGCCTGCTAAGCTAGCTCTCTGCCGCATCCTTGTCAGGTGGCTAAGCTAGCTCTCTCACCTGTCTTGTTTTACCTCACATTCTCACCAAAGTGTTTTACCAAGTACATGGTCTCTGTGAGCCCCAGTTGGCACTTACCATTTTCAAAGACAAGTTTTGCACATGTTAAAGTATAGTGCTACATACGATGACGGCTGTCTGACTTTTGAGGGAAGCCTGTACTATATTTACTGTATTTGTCTACACATATCTGAATCCTAAGCTTGGTGATCTAGTGAATTAGAAAATCTAGTGAATCTAGAAAAATTACTAATAGTGCAGTGCTAAAAACGCTTCATGAAAAGATACCATAACCACACCATGATACCATAGCAACTCTTATAATGGGACACAAGGCTTATAGTTTCAGAGGTTTGGTCCATTATCATCATAGTGGGATATGGTGGCATGCAGGAAGACATGGTACTAGGGAAGGAGCTGAGAGCCCTACATCTTGATCCTCAGGCAACAGGAAATGAAGTGTATCACTGGGTATAGCTTGAGCATAGGAGACTTCAAAGCCCACCCCCACAGTAACACACTTCCTCCAACAAGGCCATACCTACTCCAATAAAACCACACTTCCTAATAGTGCCACTCCCTATGGGGACCATTTTCTTTCAGACCATTACATTTTACTTTTCAAATATAGAAATTGAGACCACCACAGAGTTGTCATAAATGTGGTGAAAATTTGTTTAGCTTTTTAAAAGTATCATTCCCAGAACCACAGAAATTTAGTCACACAGACAGATGACATGCCTGGGTTAAACATGGCCTTGCTTTTAATGAGGTCCAGTTTTGAGAGGGTTCAATATTCCCATCTTTCAGAATAAATTTAAAATAGGTCAGTTTCTCACCCCATTTCTATATCAGGGCAGTCGAAAGTTACACTGTGATATTTGTGTCACATACTAGAATTCGCATGGGTTGACCTTTTAATAAAATATCATTGTGAGGTAATGAATTTTTATTTATTAAGAAAGGGGAAAGGAGGAAGCAGTGAAGCTTCAAACAAAATGATCAGTTGTTTCTACTTTTTATTTGAAGTGGTGTCAAAGAATATGAAGGACTAAGTTATGTGTGAATGTTTTCCTGGGACAGGAAGAAAGATGAGAGAAAACAGAGCAATTGAGAGGCCTCTGAGGGTCTGATACAGTTTTCTTTTGTTATGCAGGATGAATCAATGAGACACATTTCTGAAGGCTGTCCTGGGGTCCTGTATCTCAATCTATCCAACACAACTATCACTAACAGGACTATGCGACTCCTGCCCAGGTATGCTGTGCCTGTTTGTTAGATTGAAGTAGGGTCTCACATGTACTCCGGGCTGGCCTTGAACTCATGCTTCTCTGCCCTCTGACTAATGCTACTTGTATTACTTGTATCACATTGGCACATCAAAAATATTGTGTTCTCTTAGGCTTTGTCTTGTTCTAGTTGACCTCAAAGATGACCTCCTTCATCAGCACCAAACCATGGCAGCATAAGGGGACAACTTTCTCACTTCCGAGCTGGTGTCTGTACTATCCTTCCTTGGCAGGTACAGCTGACCACTGGCTTTCTATCTTGGCCAGTGTTTCTGCCCCCTTGCAGTAGTGTGCCCAGAGCTTCTGATAGAACTTCCTGTCTCTTTCTGCTCTCCTTTCTGGTCATTGGGAGCCTACCCCTAACTTCCTGTCTAGGGTCTGAGACTCAACATGCCTCCTCCTCAGACTGAGGTCAAGGTTCCAGGTCCCCTGTGTCACTTTGAGAGATCACCACTTCCAGGGAGATTTCACTGCTGAGTTTTGACTGTCTATCAACTCTGATGTCCCTGCAGTGTGGCAGCTGCTATTCCTTATCCAGCACATCTCTGGTGAAGGTACAGGAAAGCACAACATCTGGCAGACTCATCAACTTTACAGAATTTTTCTTATTCAGTTATTCTGTGTTTACTGTGGAAGGACTAACCAGGTTCTGTATCTGGTCTTAGGGAGATGTTAAATTGATGCTGGGAAAACAGTCATCAAACGGTTGTGAATGCTTTTTGAGACTATAACTTTTTGAGATCCTTTGAAAATTAACAATAAGACATTTGGAAAAGCTAAAACAAAATGATTTTCTTTATGTTCTAACTCTAACAGTTCTCTGCAAATGGGCAAACCTCAGGAAAGTGGCATGGCACTTCCAGTTTTTGTCAGTTCTGCAAAACCTTCCTTTTAGAGTCTCTCCAGATACTTTAACATAAAGTACCATCAGCTAGCCAGGCACTTAGTAATCATTCACTTTTTATTCCTATATATTTTTAAAACTCAGGCATACAATCCATTTTGAATTTATTTCAGTGTTAAAAGAAGCAATGAACAAAACTGGAGGTCAACAAAATATTCCCCGTGTGGTTGAAAGCTTGTTTCTGTGTAACCCACTAGCCATGGTTTTATATTCTCCATCTGTAATAGCTGATCTCCAACATTATGTATTGACCGTAGTTCTGTGTGGGTCTTCCTTATATATTTGAACATTTAGACAGGCATAAATACTTAAAGACATCCATTCCTAGTACCTCTACATAAACCTGTGCCCACATCTCTGAGGTTTCATGCCCATTGTATCCTACCCAGCTCCTCTCAGTGACCCATCCCCAGTAGCTTGGAAGGGCTGATGGGAGTGTGTCACACCATGGAAAATGGCAAACATGACCAAAAACACTTGAATTATTATTTTGACAATTGTTTAGACTTAAACTGATGGAAAAGGCAATTTATAAAGCAGATTAAATTTAAAAGTTTGTCTTGCCTGTAGCCAGCAAATAGCATTTTTTCTTTCAATCCTATAAAATGATATGATTCAGCAACAAAAGCACTCATGCTGTTGCTAGGTGTGTACATTCTGGCCACATGTCTCAGTTGCCTAACTCTTTTCTGCAATGTAATGGAAGTAATGTTTGAGAAAAATGAGTATAATGTAACTCATAGAACTATACTCATACCTCAACAGCAGTGATCAGTTGGTGGGCTACCTCTGTAAGAATTTGGCAAAAGTCAATGAAAGTATTGTACTAGAACCAACTGGCTACATGGAACTGACTATAACTAATACTGTATAGTTTGTTATTATTTATAAATCATATGGTACCTAACCTTTGTAGTAGGATAAAAAACATTTTACAGTACATATTTCCATATGGTTTCAGAGAACAAGTTAGATATTTATCACTACATTTATACTTAAAAACAAAATAATGATTTATATGTATGTAATCAACCTCTTAGGAGTAGAGTGCTTCTGCATTTTTCAAAGTTCATAAATCTCTTAATAAAATCTTTGTTTGGGTCAGAAAAATGTTTTAAGTTATTCATAGATGTCTTTTTCATTGTTATTATTAGTAGCCTTTCTGACTGTTTCCTATCTTTATTTACTAAATGGTCCTTTCTGGGTTGGAATATGAGATCAAACATCTTATTAAACTTTTCTTTTTAAAATGACACAAGTAGAGCCAGGTAATTATTTCTGAATAAGAATTTGGAAAAAAATGTATCAGACTTGTTAAATATTATTTCCACTTTTCAAACAAGTAGTCCATATTTTATCTCCTTTTTGACCCAATACTTGCAGAATTCTTTGTTTAAAGTGGTTGGTGCTTTGGTGTTTAAACTACTGTCTTTAATTGTGGAAGAAATATGGACTGAATTATTTCTGCTTTTTGGAATTCAGATTTCTTCAAGGACTAGTTTGTAATTAGTTTCAGAATACCCATGAATGTTTAAAGTGAAGATAATTTGTTTAAGAGTATAAACATCTGTGTATAAGTATATGTTTATACATTATCTTCTTGACATGTCATGATTTAACAGTGATGTTAGTCACTGATTATAACTAAACTCATAGTTTATTTTTATTTTATGTATGAAGCTAAAGCATCATGCTTTATCATAGATTACAGTATTTCCCCACATAAAATGGTATTCTTCTTCCCTGTTAATGTTTCTTGTGATTTGTGTTGTTTTTTGAGACAGGCTCTCACTGATGGACCAGGCTTCCTTCAAACTTGCAATCCTCCTGCCTCAGCCTTCTGAGTGTTGAGTGTTGTGATTACATGACCACTCCATACTGAGCTGGCTGCTAGCATCCTCATCTTTGCTTTCTTTTGTTTAGGTTTTTTTGTGAAATAGTTTTATGAATCCCTGTTTCTTAAATCTTTGTGTTACCGGTTTTTAGTTGTGTTTTCTATGTAGCTAGTTTCTATTTTATTTTTGGTTTTTCAAAACAGTGTTTCTCTGTGTAGCCCTGGCTATCCTGCAGCAGACACTGTAGATCAGGTTAGCCTTAAACTCATATCCATCTGCAGCTGCCTCCCTAGTGCTGGAATTAAAGGCGTGAGCCACTGTCCACTCACTAACTTCTAGTTTTAAATATGTTTATCCTTTGTGCTTATTGAACAGGAAAGGTCAAACGGTTAATATTTACTTTTTAAAGATTATAAAATACAAGATTTATATGTTAAAATATAAATTTACAAAGTAGATGCTTTGAAACTAGTTCATATCACTTTACAAACTGTTTTATTTCCTTCTTCTCTTTATTTCTTCTTCTTTTTTAGACAGGTCTTACTATGTAGCCTAGGGTGGTTTGGAACCCACCATGTACAGGCTGGTTTGAACTTGTGATCATCTTACTTTCTCAGGAATTACAGATGTGAGCCACTATGGCTAACTGCCTCCTCTGCCTTTTAAACTTAAAACATTCTTGCTAGCAATGTGTTAAGCTGCTCCCTTCCCTTTTTAGGTGATTTAGTATATTAGTGTGGCTATGTGGCAAATGCTATTTTTTGGGAATGATAGAAAAGTTGAGTTCCACATAAGAATTCTGTTTTGATTTTAACTTCTAGTTCTTTCCATTCAGTGAGCATTCAGAATAAAGTTTACTTATTGCTGATGACTTTTGTCATATGAAGAATTATGCAGTGACTTTTTCAGTGAAAAAGCCTGTTTGTGTTGTGTTTTCCATTGTTTATTTAAACTATAAATAACCAAAGGAGTGTTGGCTGTTGCTGCTTGTCACTCCTCTGCATTGCCCTTAGTATTCTCCCCAAAGAAATCAGTTGACAGAAGGAAAGAAAAAAAAAAAAAATGCTGGCTGCCTTTAATGGCAGCATTGATTTGTCAGTTTTATTTGAGTGTTTTTCTCACTTCTTTGGAGATTGGGTTTTCTAGAGTTAAAAATGTGGGCTGCCCACAGCTCTTTCTCATTATTCGTTTGTGGGTTTCTTTTTTTGGAGGGGTGGGGGTGAGGTTGTACCACGTGTGTCGATGGAGGTTAGGGTGATTTGAAGGACTCAGTTTCCACCAGGGGACTCTTCAACCTCAAACTATGGTCATAGGCTTTGTTGGCAGAAAATGCCTTTACCTGCTGAGCTATCTCGCAGGCCCATCCTTTATTCTAGGAGCATCTTTGCTTAGTACTATTTTCTGACTTTAATCCTTTCCAGTTATTTCTGTTACCATAGCCTTGGCGGCACTCTGCGGTTCTTTGCACAGTGCCCATTCTGCCTCTGGTCTCCTTTCCTCTGGTCTGTGCTGGCTCATGCCATTGGCAGAGTCATCCTGGAGAAAGTCATGTCTTGTCTAGAATGTTCCCCTGCTGTCCCTGACATTATCTAGTTGAGCATACCTGTGTGGGTTGCCCAAGAGAAGCCCTGAGCTCTGGCCATCTCGTTCTTCATGCTTGTCTTCCTGGCAGAGGGGATGCCCTTCCTTTCCTACCTAATTCTCAGGTTCTCGGCATGGCATCCCAGAAGACCAGTGAGTTATCCTTTTCCTGCATCCCACTGGAAGTTCTCACTTATTTATCCTTCTGGGAGTGCAGGCAAGAAAAAAACTGTTGTGATTTTTGAGAAGGCATGTGTAACTTGTTGTGATTGTTCAGGATGACCTTCAATTTTGAGCTCAAGCGATTCTCCTGCCTCAGCCCCCCCCAAATAGCTGGTGCTCCAGTTCCACATCACTATGCATGGCTTGAGCTTGGGTTCCTTAATGGATCTTTCTATGCTGTAGTGAATGCTGTGGAGTCATGTATGTATGTATGTATGTATGTATGTATGTATGTATGTATGTATATTGCCCCTTTATTTAGCTCTGGATTTTCTTATATACCAGGGTTCTCTGTTATGTAGTTTCACCAATGTCCATCAAAGAGGAGCAGCCATGGCTCAAGTTCACCTCAAGTTCACTCTCATTATGACGCTACATGTTCCATTTTGATTTTCTAGAGAATTCTGCCTCTTGATGTCAAAGAGTCCCAAACTCAAAGAATCTACCTGCAAATTCCCTTCCTAAGTCTAAACTTGGCCTTGTCTTGGTGGTTTTGATAGAAATATTTTGATAGAAATTTCCATTTGAATACATGGTATTTTACTCCTTTTAGCAGACTCTCTCTAGTGTTGAAGATGGAACATAAGTACTTCAGAACTTCAATGGAAACAAAGTCAAAAGAAAGAACAAAAATAATTCCTGTGTTTCCTTAAAGATTATACTAGTGGCAGAAAAATGAAAAGGAACCCCACACTCTCAATAAAAAACAGTTATCAAATAACTGGGAAAAGATAAAACACCACAAATAGTCTTTCTCAAAGCAGAAATGGAGTTATCAGGCCCTTGTGCTGGTGAGCCTGGTCTTTGTTGGAAGGAGAAACATTCCTTTGCACTGCTCTAAATTAGGTGTCAGGTATGCACAAATCTGCCACACTGTAGCCAGCCTACCTCCACACTCCACAGCTTTCAGTCTGTAGCACTGAGAATCCCTAGAAACAATGCCAGGATGATAAGATGCCCATGCTTTTTCTTTGCACTCACTGACCTCTCACTTTGAAGGGATGTTGGCTAGAGACTTGCAGCCTGGGAGCCATGGTGCCATTTAGTTTAACAACTTCCTTGTCCACAGCAGAAGCTCTTAAATTTCAGCCAGTGGCCCTGACCCCAAAGGGAAAGAGGTCAGGTGTATATGAAGCAGTGTGTGTGTGTGTGTGTGTGTGTGTGTGTGTGTGTGTGTGTGTGCTCGCGAGTCTGTGTATGTGTGTGTGCGTGCACATACACACACGAATGAACATGCATATAGGTGTAAGCATGTGAGTGCAGGTGCCCTCAGAGGCTAGGGGTGTCATATCTCCTGGAGCTAGAGTTACAGATGCTTGTGACACAGATACTCAGAACTGACCTCCAGTTCACTAGAAGAACAGCATGCATTCTTAACCACTGACCCACCTCTCTAACCTCTGTTTAAGGGTTTTGATGGTGTGAAATCCTCTCTGCTTTCACTACTGAAATACAGGGGATAGCTCAGGGAGCAAAGATACTGCCCTCCAAGCCACCGGAGTTCAGTCTCTGGCATCAACATGGTAGGAAGAAAGCTCCTAAAAGCTGTCCTCTGATCTCCACTTGAGTGCACACACACACACACACACACACACACACACACACACACACACACACGTGCTCTCCTGTGCACACACACATACAGTAAAAGCTTTAAATACTAAAAGGACCTATAGACTCTATAGACTACTACAACTATCCGTATTATAAAAATAGTCAAGTAAGTCCCTTAATTCTCATTTTTGATATTTATTGATCATATGAATTCAATGAGGTAGAATTATAGGTTAGGTAAGATATAGACCTCATGTGACATCCTTCAAATTTTTGTTAGCTGAGCATTGTTGTAGAATAATCTTTTTGTACATTGTGAGATGTGTCTGTCACTCAGATTGGTCTAATAAAAAGAGCTGGTAAAAAGCAAGCCTAAGCTATTGGCCAAACTTTCATAATTAATAATAAGCCTCTGTGTAGTGATTTGGGAGCTGAATGGTTTGATAGAAAAAGATTCACTACAGAGCATCCATTCCTTTAAATGAAAAAGATGGTACAAACTTCATAGAAACATGAAGATGTTGGCCTAGGATGCTAGTTTAGTTGATAAAGTACTTGCTTTGCAAGCCTGAGACCTGAGTTTGATCTGCTAGAAACTATGTACAAAAGAAAAAAGCCAGATGTTTGTAATCCCAGCACTAGGGAGTCAGGGAGAGATAGATTCCCCAGGAATGCTGGCTCGTTGGCTAGCATGTTTGGCAATAAGAGACCCTATCTCAAAAAAAGGTGGCCATCATCTTAGAAATAACAGTTGAAGCTGTTCTTTGGTATGTGTGGGGGCAGGCACATGTGCAAGTGAGTACACACATACATATGCATACACACACACACACACACACACACACACTGACATAAACACACAGGCATGCACATACACACATACAAACACTGACACACAGACATGCATGCACACACACAAATACCGACATACACACATAGGCATGCATGCAGATAGACACTAACACATATACACACACATATTGACATATACACACAAATGTTGACATACACAGGCACGCCTACACACACACAAACACTGAGAAACCCACCCAGGCATGCATGCATATACATACAGGCAGTAAATTAGAAGAGAAATAATTTTTTTTGAGGTAGTAAGTAGCAGTAACAAGACACAGATTCTCAGAGTTTACTGTTCTCCTTTGTTTTCAATGATCAAAATACCCCTCCTGATAGCACTATTAGATCTGCTATACCCCTCCTGATACTTTTATTAGATCTGCAATAATTCTCCTGATAGCACTTTTAGATCTGAATACTCATTTAATTCTTTCACACTTTTCAAAGGCAAGATCAGATGGGATCAAATCCATATGACAGGTAAGAAAACCGAGGGTCAGGAAAGCTGCAAGCCCTGTCATTTGCTAAGGGATTTCAAAGGTGCACTCATCTTTACTTAGCAGCCAGGAAAGCAATCTGCCACAGGATAGGGAAGTTGTAGTAAGCATTTAGGCTACAATTCTAATTCAGTTTGGTTGAGTCCAAATTCTTGTCTATTTTCCATGGTGTTGTACTGCCGATTTCACAGCTCCTGTCTCCATGTTAGAGAGCTATTAGGACTGAAATCTCACGCTACTCTCAAGGAGAGAAAGAGAAAGCATTTCTCAGCCCACTGTGGGGCTGGGGAGGGGCGTATCTTTGGATGTTAGTGAGCTCTCTCTTTCCAGGTCCAGCCCACCGCCACTGTGGTCCAAAGGCTTCCTTGGCTTTCCTGTGCATGCATATCCATTCCCAGAAGGGACCATGTGTTCTCAATCAGTAATTCACCATGGAATAGAACCATTAACTCATATAGACTTGGTTTTCAAGTTTAGGGCTAAGTCTTACTTGTGGACCGTGTTTGCATATCTTATTTCCCATTTATGTGAAGACAAAGTTGATTGGCAAGCTTTATAAGAGGCAAGGAGGCATTTCCCCCACTTCTAGCATCCTCATTTGATGCTAAGCTGTTGCAGATTCCAAACCGAGCAGGCAACAACAGTCCTCACACTGTTAGAATGGCATGCTTCAGAGGGCTTAGAGGCTTGTCCACAGAGTGTCCTCAAACACTGCCCCTTACATGCCTGAACACTCATCCTAACCCCCTCCTCTTTCCTCTGGGAGCTTTCCTTTTGGTCATTGTGATAATGGCATATTTCTCTGTTTGAACTCCAGTGAAACTGACAGCCTCCTGTGTAATTTTCATTCTTCTCAAGTGTTGCCCACATAGTTACTCACTGTTCTTAACCCATGCTTAAGCCCTGAACGAGTATCAGTTGTTTCTTAATTATTTTTAATGATCATATGGAAGCTATTGCTAACAAAATTGTTCATGTTGAAATCTCTGGTTTTGAAATCATTTTCTTATCAGACCCATTTTAAGAGCCTGCCATGTTAGATTTATCTTCTCTTATCCCAAATCTTCGCCAGGATAGAACAGTTAATTTTCATTATATGTTTATAAAACGTTTATCTTTCTCATTTTGCATATTAGATTGGCAAAGATAAGAGCTAAAAACAAGAAAATAAACTCTCACTTGGGTTCCAGCAACAAACTAACTTCTAAATAATATGCATGCAAGGCTCCTCCTACTCCCATACTAAATCTTATCCCATCAAGTTTCTTAAAATCCTAGCCAGATATTCTTTCTTTTCCTTCAAAATATAATCATGCACTATCTGCTCCAGTGCTAAAATCTCCTTTGCTTAATAGGAAGAGAGGCAGCAACTGCTAAAGTGCTGAGCATCTGCAAGGAGAGAGCAGGAGGAGCCCAGCTTTAGTTCTCTTTGTCACAGTGGCTCGGGAAAGATCTGAGAAAAGCTCAAGTGTTTGGCTTTCCTTCCTCCCTTCTCTGCCCCATTGCTCCAGGTACTTCCACAATTTACAGAATCTCAGTCTGGCTTACTGCCGAAAGTTCACGGACAAAGGCTTACAGTACCTGAACTTGGGGAATGGATGCCACAAGCTCATCTATCTGGACCTTTCCGGCTGCACCCAGGTTTGCCTGTTGCTCTCTCAGTCTTCTCTATCTTGCAGCGGGCGGGCACGTCCTCGTCCTCCCGAGAGCCAGCTGCATCCAGCCCTCATGTTGCACCAATACTGTGCATAGAGCGCAGCACACTCTGCTGAGGTTTTAAATTACATGGCCACAGCTGCCTAAATTTTCTTCAGGATTGCTACTATAGGCGCCTGGCTTCTGTCCACAGGCGTGTCACATCAACAAACAGACAGAGCTCATTGGATGATGAAACAGACCACTTCTGAGCACAGTGAGAGGGCAGAGTCCAAATCTCCAAAACTTTATAGAGCTACTAAGATACAAACAAATGAGGTGGGGTCCGTAGGAAATTCCTGACGAGTCACTTAGGTCCCCATGGGCCTTTCTGGGGGTAAAATGCTACAAGCAAGAAATGTGAGAAAGGAAAGCCCCCACAACAAAGGTTGTACATGTTTAAAACTGCATTGCACTCATGTGCTAAATACCATGAAGATTCAAGGTCTGTGTGAGAAAATGCTTTAAGATGAAGGAACTGGGATTAAGGAAGTTGGGCAGGAAGCCAGGTAAAGCTGCAGAGGACTGGGCATGGCCTGCAGAAGCATTTATTGCCTCATCCATATTTTCCATAGATTCAAGCTATACTTTTTATAAATGATTTCCATCCATGTCTCTCTGTGTGTTTTGATATTGATGTCCTACTATGTTCTTTGTAATACAACATGGGTGAGAGCTATCTAAAATGAGTCACAGCTAGCTGTAGTTGCCACTTATTGGCCTGCTTTGTATTAGACCAGACTTACCCCTCAAGCAGTGGATTGCTTGTGTGGGTTTTGTGCCCATTTCCCAAGGTTCCATCCAGGTGGTTGAATAAATTGGCTGGTATCACCATCTGATAGAAACCTATGGTGTAGATCAAGTGACAGACACCTTGAAGTAGGGGCTGAGGGTCACCGAATGCATAGAACTGTCACACAGACATGCTGCTGCCTGGACATGGTTTCTTAGTGTTCCAGCTGGGAGAAGAGGAGTGAGGATTCGGCCAAGGTTGGTAATGTGGAGAATGGATACCTTCTTGAAACTGGCCTGTAATGTGCATCAGCTGTGACCAGGTCTTAAGATGGAGTCACCCTTGTCTTCCTCAGTTTGCCTAAACTTCAGGTAGCTTCTTGACCCTGGCCTTCTGATGTATCTTCTTTTAGAACACTTATTCAGAAAACCTGGAATTGTAGAAACTGTACATTTTTCTCTTCCTCCTCTAAGATGAAAAGCTAAAAAAAATGTGATAGTTTTACAACCTAGAAAGGTCTTCCTTCAGGATCTGGGAGCTGTCCTTTTGACATAATCACATCAAAGAAGATAGTGTTTCATCTCCCAGTTTCTGAGGGAATGCAGAACCCTCACTTAGATGATTACCAATTAGGAAATACAGACACTCCTATATCAAAGGAAAGTATTTCCAAATACAGAGATAACTTCATGTGCTCGACAAATTCTATCAGCCAAACTCCCCTAATTATAAATCCTCTATGACTTTTCTAGATGCTCATTCTGAATCTTAACCACCACAATGGGCCATACCCACTCATTCTTCTTAGTTTCCATGTGGGTGTATATTGTAGCCACAACACAAAATAACATAACACACTCATGTACACACACACTCATGCACACACACACTCATACACTCATCTATATGGTCATGTACATACACATTCATGCACACACTCATGCACACACACACATTCTATGAGCAGTTGTCTTCAGTTACAGTAGAATCTAGGTAAGAAGTTTAAATCTGTGTTCTACTGCCAAACATACCTAGTCTCTCATTGAAAATTGAGCCACGGTTTAAAATTGTGGAGAGTTTACATACATCAACACCTGGATTTAAAAATAAGTAAGCACAGTGTAAGGCTAGAGCCATCTGAGTGGGGGTGCACACTGGTATGGCAGCGGGAAGTTAGAGCTGAGTCAGCCTTCTCCCTTTGAGATGGGGCATATTCTCATCCTTAGTTTGCAACCTTTTTCTGTTTGATGATGTCCTGAGTGTCTGCCTTTACACATACATTGACACCTGTAACTCATTGACTGTTTGGCTTCGACTTCTATATAAATTTGGTTTGGATGTGTAAGAATAAAGCTCTTGGGTTGGGGAGAAAGCTCAGTCACAAAGCCTTGCACCTGTGCTGACCAGAGTTCAATTCCCAGAACCAACATCTTTTAAAAAGCCAGGAGTGTTGGTGTGCTTCCCTTGTAATCCCCTACCACTTGGAGGCAGAGAGCATCTCTAGCTTGCTGGGCAGCCTGTGATCAGCCTCCAAGGTGAGCAGCAGGCAAGTAATCTAAACAAATGAAGCAGCTGGCTGTTGAGGACAACTCAAGGTTGACCTCTTGCTTCCACACACACACGTGTACACATGAACACAAATGCACAACACACACACACACGAACATGCATACATGCGTACACATGAACACAAATGCACAACTCACACACATACACACAAGATTGAAACTCTCCTCTTAATTTTATTTTGTAAATCACAAACTGCAAGTGTTTGTTTCTTCTGTTTATCCCTTCTCCATTTTATTTGTTTGAGAATCCAAAAGATTTAATTCTTGATGCCAGGACACTAGGAACTGAGCCATTTGAACCCGAGTCTGGGTAGAGCACTGGGAGAAAGGAAGGGGTCACCCCCTAAGCACAGATCTCAACTGGAGTAACAATGTAGCTTTGCAAAGAACCCTGCAAACTTGCTGTTTGTTCACCCCTCTGGGGTGGGTCTGCCTAGCTGCCTCCTTCACTGAATTTAAAACAAGGAATCATAATGATTTCCCCATTAGAAAGAGGTTCTGGTTTTGGCTTAGAGTTTCAAGTGCTGTGATAAAACACCATGATCAAAAGCAACTTGGGGAGGAAAGGGTTTGCCTTAGCTTACAGACCCACAGCACAGTCCATCACTGAGGAACCCGGAGGCAGGAGCTGATGCAGAGGCCATGGGGGGACACTGTTTACTGGCTTGTTGCTCGTGGCTTGCTCACCCTGCTTTCTTATACACCCAGGACCACCACCTCAGGGATGACACCACCCATTGTGTCCTCCCCCATCAATCACCAAATTAAGAAAATGCCCCACATGCTTGCCAACAGTTCAGCCTTATGGAAGCATTTTCTCAGTTATGGCCCTCTTTCCTCAGATAACTCTAGCTTGTGCCAAATTAATAAGAACACCAACCAGGACAGACTTGGAAACTAGAATATGTCTCCTATGCTTAGAAATTGTCTCTAAGAAGTTATATGTAAATATATACCAAGAAGAAATATCCTAATAAGACAAAGAGTGGTTTTTGATGGTGTTTGCCAAGTGTCTGCTGTATGCCAGACATGGTGAAGGGCAGAGTGGCATGCTTTTCTTTCAGGAACTTGGGATGGACATAAAGTATGGCAAGGTTGAAGCTTAAATGTGGTCACTACTTCCCAAAAAAGGTATTGAGAAAGAATTTTAGCCAAACATGTCAATAAAAAATCAAACAAATAAATAATGGAAAGCTGTAGTGCAGAGTGAAAATTAATTCCATAAGTTTTAGGAGTATTCTTCATTCTTTGTGGGTTGGAGAAGCAGTTGAGGTACATTAAGGCATTAAGTGCTCTTTTTTTGTTTTTTGTTTTTGTTTTTGTTTTGTTTTGTTTTTGAGACAGGGTTTCTTTGTGTAACCCAGCTATCATGGAGCAACCACTCTTGTAATGAGTAGCAGGGCTGTTCATGCACCTGCTGCTGCCTTCCTTTCTTAGTTTTTTCTCTAAAATTCTCCCTTCACAACCAGTGCTCTCTTTGATTAACTAGGGCAAATCTCTAGCCTTACCTTTTCATGAAGTCATAATTTTTAAGTTAGAAAAAGTTTTTACTTCTAATTATTACTAAAAGTGTGTGTGTGTGTGTATGTGTGTTGTGAGATGTGGGGGGGGGTGTACACATGCCACAGTATGTGTATAGAGGATAATTTGGTGGAGTCAGTTCCCCCTTTGTACAATGTGTGTCCCAGTGTTTGAACTCAGGTTGCCAGGTTTGCATGCTATGCACCATAACTGGATGAACCACTTCACTCAAAGAAGCTTTTTTAATTAGCTGTATAAAAAATTGAAAGTATATAAAGAATAAATATTTTTAAACTATTTGAAATTTTACCACTCAAATAACAAAACCTACCAGCATCTTGTAGCAAAGCTCTCTGGTATTCTTTCCACACATGTCTACATGCCTTTAAATTAAAATATGTGGTATAGAGACATGCCTTTCATCAGTACCCTATACAGTGCACAGCTTTATTCTTCATTAAATATTTAACTTCAGTAGTTACCTAGGGTTCTGTTTTACTTTTTATTTATTTACTTAACCACTCATCACTAGCCTGTCAAAATTTTTAACTATAAAGCCTGTGGTGAAATTCTTTATGGTCATGTCTTTACATATGTCATAAGCATTTAGAAATGTAACAGTTAGTGAAAGGATGTAGTTATTTTTAAGACCATCCATAGTTGTTAGCTTGTTCTTAACTATCATCATGCATTTATTATTGTCATAAATATACACAATTTTTTGTCTGTTTGTCATTTAACATGGTACTTTGTGTTTTTAATTTTATTTTCTTTATTATTTTAAGGTTAAAAGTGTTCACCCCCAAAACATAGCTCTTATCTCAAAGGGACCAAGAAATCATTTATTCTGAAGCCAGATATTAGTGATTCCATGGTCCAACGCAGAATCAATTTTGTGATGTTTATACAATGATAGCACAACCCAGCGCTTCTCCCAGCGCTGTCAGAAACCTGAGTTGGCAGCTACAGCACGACAGAGAACTCAGCTCTGGGCCAGTCTCAGCCTGTTGATGGTGGAAAGTGGGATTTTCTTAGATTAATACAACTGTGAAGCTTTTATCTGTTTATGAGGATGTTAGGTCTGACACAGTGGTGGGCAGGGGATGGCTCTTTGGGAAGCTAAA